AAATCAGATCAGAAGGTGACAAATTGTCAATTTGTTAGCTCAAAATAGAAAGTAGCTAGGGCCTATAGGCCTAGCCTAGTGTAGTAGGCCCTAGTAATTCGTAAATTTAACTTGCACAAAGGAACCTGTTGTTCGCAAAAGTGGATCTTTTTTCCGCATGAATTAGCATCCCATGCGCTTGAAGTAAATTCTGATCAAATCTGCTAGAAATGGCATTTGCTTGAAGTGGCATCCGCTCGAATTGACGGGTTCCCTTATTATTAGACCCATGCTCATTGTTACAGATAAATAGATAATTCTGGCATAGAACACATTTGATTCGATTTGATGTTTCAAATGATTATGTTTGTGATTTCATGATTTTATGTATTGCAATGCGCCTATGAGAAAATGTTTTTTTGAATATGCGGTGCAATATAAATGCTTTTTATTATTTCATGTATTATTATTACAGTATTATTATTATTATTATTAAATTATTGTTATTGTTAAATTATTATTATTGTTACTGTAATTTCGTAGATTTTTATTTTTTTGTCTAATGCTAACATGATTAATGTGAATTTCATCCATGTAACTTTCATATTTTAACCAGCATTCTGATTTCCAATGCATTTCTCCTATACTACGAGAATATTTTGCCTACCAGGGTAGTGCGCTGCCAGCGTTTCAGGTAGGCCAATGTAAACATTGCAAGGGGTATATAATGTATTTTTTTCTATTTATTTCAGTGTTTAAATACTATACAGGGAATAAGATTAACAATGTCAGTAATATTTAAGGTATTATAACTATGAATTCTGTGGCTGAAAACATTGACTCTCTTGGCAAACATTTACTTGGTTCTACACTGCTTGGCCCACATCTGGTCCAGCCTGTTATTACCGTGTGTGTGTGTGTATTAGAGTGTAAACGCCGTTTGAGGACATGTGCATATAACAGTCTTTTTCGATATCAACCAGGGCCGCATAGTGCAACCAAAATAGTGCGCAACGAAAGGGGATTTAGTGTCTATGAGAACTTGCTGGTGAATGTTTACAAATTGAGGGAAAGACGATTGTATGATGGCGCTAGCCGACTGGAGGAGCTCGTTGAAAAGCTTGCTGCAAATGATGAAGGTTAGTGAAGGAAGCAGCATACTATAGGGATTTCACAATAAAAAAAAAATTGAGAAAAAAAAAATTCTACTCGAATTTTGAGTCTTAAGAGTGCCATTTCCGGCCATCTAGACGTGCCATACTCATAAATTTTCTTACCTCAGCCCCAACCATGGTGACGCTGTGGTAGTGTAGGCCTCCCCAATCAGTAAAATCCTGGCCCCCACCGCCTCCCCAATCGGTAAAATCCTGGCCCCCACCCCTGGGGGCCAAAATTTTCGTTTACAAACATTGGCAAAGAAAACGAATTCTCATTCTAACTAATTCTGATAGAAACCATTATATACTGCATCCATAGACTCTAGGCATCTGATTGTTAAATAGCTGCTATAACTTCAATGTAGATTTTTTTGTCGCATATAAAAAATATACATGAAAATTACATATCACAAAAATATAAATATTACACATAATATTAGCACCAAAAATCTTAACTAATAATAACTAAATAGAAAGACAATGAAATGGACTATAACAACTATGGTACCAATTTAAGACAGTGATTATCTAGAGCATTCATTATTGTAGAGCTGACATACAGTATTTGTAGTATGAATGAATTTTTTAACCGGTTTGTTTTGACAGTAGTTTCTCGAATTGTTCCTGATTTTTTTTTTAAAGTAGCCATTTAATGGGTGAGACTCATCGTTTAATATTCTTTCTAATTTCAGAGGGGCCAACTTATCACAGAAACTGTTAACTATCACGTTAAATTATACATAGTACTTTTTTGCCCTGTCATGGTATAATTTCTAGGCCCCACTTAAAATGCTGACTATTTAATTTATGATAGTCATGGAGAGTAAAGGGGTCGCAACCTCTTTGATGCTGAGAGATATTGGCCCTTTGATTGCCAAGGCTTAGAAAAGTAAGCCTAGACCTAAATGGTGGGTACTCTTTTCATTACATTTTTTTAGAATCTTTGTATGATGTATACTGCATAAAACAAATAATGACTGCTCTAGTTTCGGAAAACAGTAAACCTATAGCCCCGAGGTGATGTGGAGACTGTAGCCAGCCTACTATCTTCCAGATCAATTAAAAGGAATCTCCTCTTTACCTACAGATCTTAGTACAGAAACAAAAGCTGTTTTACAATTACTCTTGTTGTTGGCTGGTAGTGAAGAAACAGTGGCAGAAGTACCTATTGGCCACAAACCTCTTAGGTTACCAATTTCTACGCATGTAAACAAGGTAAAGTACACTAATGAAATATATGCCCCAAATATTATGAAAATAGAAGCAACTTGAATGTTTTAATACATTAACTAAATAAACAGTGCCATGGTTTAATACTCCCCTTACATTTATGCCTTGGTTGCCACAAAAAAGGACAAACAAATTATTTTGGTTCAAATATAATAGCCATAATAAGTATCAGAATTGAACAAAATTTCCAGAATCGGCCTGGGACATATCCTTATCAACTCCCATCATTGCTTTTCCTCTGGTCTGTCAAAAATAGACTTTTCCTTTGATTGCCCATTAACTTCAAAATGATAAGGTTCACTGTTAAGGTTCAGCAGCTATCAGCTCAACAATAGATCATTGTATCAAACATTCAATAGATGTATTATGTAAACAGTTATGTAATTGCTATAATAATATTTGTTGATGCCAAAGTTGCATTGCTTTCATTGAATGGAAGCAATATAAATTATGTCTCAAAATAGAAAATGGATGTGTTCATATGAGATGTTTTTGTTTATTTTGTCTTCAAGAACAAGGTGAGGTTGCCAGGTGGACCCGTCTTTTATGGAGATTCTTGTCAGTTGCATGATATTCAGCTTAATGGCTATCCACACTATTCTAGGTATGATTCCACTAGGCCAAATAAAAAAAAATTGTGTTGGCCACGACCGACCAACCGACCGACCCAAAATGTATGAAATTGAGGCTCGGCATTTTAATTTTTTGTATCCGTTTTTTTTTTTTTTTACTACACTATAAAAAAAAAAAAAAAATCCTACCAACCTACCCAATTTTTTGATTTTCCAAAACATGACCAACACAAGATTTTTTTGTTTTTTTTTTGTTGGCCCTATATAAATATGTTTCTATTATAAGAACACTGTTGATTTCTATAATAAATATCTTAACTCCTGCATATATTGATTAAATATTGAGAAAGAATTTTCAGAAAATATGGGCTGATTCCTGTATAAATTTTTGCATAGCAAGCATTGGCGGTTTTTTAGCATAATTTTTGCAAGGAGGATATTATTTGCTGCACTTATTTTACATACAGTCCAGCCCTAGCTGACTCGAGCATAGTAAACGGTTACACATTTGCCATAATTGTGTGGATTATACAGTTTCTCAAAAAGCAGCTCAAATTTGTGCGGAAAATTACTAGGAATATAGGTGTGCAAAATCGTAATTACTGCATAATACATTGTTTATACATCAAGATTAGGTCAAAACCTTATTTTCGGTAAAATCTGCGTGGAAATCACCTATTATTTTTCGAAACGTTCAGACATATTTTTAGGTCACTCTTTTGTACGGAGGATATACTCCCCACGTGGGGGTTTACTTTAGAGTCTTTCACATTTGCACTAGCACAGGCGATTAGGTGCTGAGAGGTTGAGGCCAACGTAGCTCCCTCAGGAGAAGATTCAATCCAGGTTACGTTGTGAAAATAGAAGTAGCAGCCAGATAGTGTTGTCAGACCTTTAAGTTAAGTTCACATGAAGCCCGGATCCGGTCCAGAGCCTCGGACAAAAAATCATGAGTTGTTACGTTTTTTGTAAAGTGTACAAATTTAATGTGAACAGTCCTATTCTTCAACACTGAACCCATTTTTCATGATTTTGTCTCTCCGGGCACCGAACTGGATCCGGGCTTGATGTGAACATAGCTTTAAGTGTCATTGATATTTTTTCACCCTGTTGCTAATATAATGATTCTACTTGAATCTACAGGGAACTTTTTGAATGCCCAGGGAACAGAGCCGATAGAATGGGCCAACAACATAATCTGGATACATCGGTAAGCTGAACATTTTGTTTCCTGGCTTTGTGCGCACTCAAAATTATATGTGATAAACAACTGTGATAGGCCTATATTTGTGTGTAATATGACAATATCGTGCCCGAATATGGGCACATCTCAAAAATTTGTCATGTAAAATTTGATAATGTAGACTTATTTTTACTATTTTATTCCTTTACTTGTAACTACACCTGGGAAAAAATTGTTTGTGCTCCGACCATGAAGATTATTGACATAATATACCTAGTGTACTACACAATATATCATTTGTACACTACAATAATGCTAACCCAGTTTTGTTGTAACACTTTGTTATTAAATGCCCGGGTAAGATTGTGAAACAACACAAAATCGTTTTTTTTACGATCATGATGACTATAAAAATTTTTTTAATTATATTGGAAATTTACTACCATTTAGTATATCAATTCAAATTATTGTGGGACCCATCTGGAAATAAATACTTTATTTGGATTTAGAGGGTTATCTCAGATATCAACATTGATGACTTGTTTTCTCAATCTTGTTTCATTGTATTCAGTTGTTCAGGTTTTGTGATGTTATTCAGTTGATATCAAATAAATCAAATCAAATCAAAATTGTTGCTTCAGGTTTTTCCAATGGAACCCGGAAGAAATCTCCACGGCCATGACCTCTTCCTTGTCAAGGTAACAAATGCTTATATTCAAATATTCTGGACAGCGAACGAAAGAGGAAAACGGAGGCCCAGAAGAGGAGTGGAGAGTCCTAGGCCCAATATATTCCTACAAAATAATTACAAAACGAGTAATTTCATCGCTCCACCTGTGTGTTGATGTTTAGCTTGTAGGCCTTGGATATGAACAATAGTTTTGAAAGTTCGCAAGTAATATGATCGTGGTTCAACCTGGAGGTCACGTTTCACCTGATAATCGCTTTTTGTGTTGCTGCTAAATAGTGCACCGTCAAAATCAGTTATTTGCTGTTCTAACATGCTATACATTGCGTGTTGTTAATCAATTTTTTTTTATCGCTTTTTTCGAACTGGTCCCGTTTCTACTGCAAGAAAAAAAGCGATTTTCGATTGATTTTTTCCTTCCAGTAGAAACAGGCCCTTAAAAATCTTATGGAATGCTTGCCCTTGTCAATTTCATGATAAATTTTGTTTAGAATGAATAAATAATGCATTAATTAAATACATCATCACAGAGTTATTTCCCTCTCTTAAATCATCAATTAACAGGTGTCTTATGGGTCTGCTGAAGAAGTGGAGAGGAGCAGTACTTTATATTTTGGTAGTTAGTTTGCAGAGATTTTTTACTTTACATGTTCATTTATGTGTTTCTCGATTTTCATATTATTTCATTGAGTGATGATTTCATTTCATTTATTTATTCAGACAAGTGTCTTGATATATATGTAGCATGGATTTTTGGTTTGTTACTTTAGGTTGCTGATGATGAAGGCTTCAACGAGTCCATGAGTAGTGACATGGCATCCTCTACACCAGAAGATGTGGATAAGAAGATCAACCTATGGGAAGCTGCAATTACACATAAACTGCATACAAAATACACCTGGGAAACAATTGGAAGGTAGGATAGATGACTGTATTAAGCAGTATGTAATTACTCAGCATATTAGGCAGAACGTAAGACAGTCGTTAGTGCAGTGCATGAGGTACAGTATTTGTGAGGTACTGTAGCATCTGTGGTGGTTAGCAGTGCAGCACGTATGGTAGTATGGGACTGTGGATGTTGGCATGATTTGAGGTGTGGAGTGGAATCACATTCTCCTTTAGTCAATATCAAAGTGAGGATATTTATCTTTGACAGAATGAGGAGAGCTCCCTGGACAGACAGTATATTTCAAACTTTCATCTTCTTAGACTTTCATTTGTCTATAGCCTAGTCCTACTACTCCTTTTCCGACAATTTGCACCTTTAACACACTCTCATCTAAGTTTTCAAGAAAACCTGCAATGATCATGCCGTCCTGCTATTCTCAATCGACCGATGGCGAACAAGCTAACCACCACCACTAATTTCATCTGCTATTCTGCTGTTATGTAATACTGTACTCACAATATTCTTGTCATGACAAGCCATGCTCTCTGGACAATTATCTTTTCGCCGCAGCACCATTCGTAATTTGCAGTTTCCTGATGTCCTTATTTAATCGTTTTTCATTCAAAATGTGCCTCTTGGATATAATAAGTTCTCATAAGAACCCCTCGATTTTCATCTATTTCCATAAGCGCCCCCTCAATTTTCATTCTGTTTTTATAAGCGCCCCATTTGAATAAGCGCTTATTTGCACGAGTACGGTATATATTTTTAACTTTACTGGGTTTGGTATGATGACTGTCCGAGTGGAAATAATTAAGGAATATTCTTTCACAGAGTTGAGTATATATAAACATAAGTGTTGGATGGACGGAACAACATGGTTGAAACATAGAGGCAAAATCCACTATGACCAAGATTTTTTATAATTATTAAACCTGCAGAGCCAATGGCATCTATGATATGAAAAAATAGAGAACCAAGATATTTTTATAAGATAAACATACAGTATATAAAATAAATAAATAAATTATTCCAAGGTAAAATAGTATAAAATAGTTGTAATAAAATAAAATAGGGAATTTGCATGTTTATAGACTTCTTTATTACCTCTTATTCTGTTCAAC